TTTATTTTGCTGGTGTGAAATTATCTATTGCCTGTGTTTTCGTGGGTGTAGTTAACTTCCTTGGATTGGAGTTTTCCTTCTAGTACCTTCTGTAGGGCTGTATTTGTGGGTAGATATTGTTTAAATTTTAATTTATCATGAAATATCTTGTTTTATCCATCTATGGTGATTGAAGGTTTTGCTGGGTATTTAGTCTAGGCTGGCATCTGTGGAATCGTAAAGTCTGCAAGAGGTCTGGCCAGGCTCTTCTGGCTTTTAGAGTCTCCACTGAGAAGTTGCATGTAATTCTTTTTTTTTAAATTATTTTATTTATTTTTAGCAATTCATTTTTTATTGAAGATTTTTTTCATTAATTTTACATACCAATCAAAGATCCCCCTCTTCCCTCCTCTCACCGTCCCAGTCTCCCCCTCCCAACCCATCCCCACTCCCCCCCCCAAAAGAAGACAAGGCATCCCATGGCATGGGGAGGCACTGCATGTAATTCTTAGTGGTCTGCCTTTATATGTTATTTGGCCCTTTTCCCCTGCAGCTTTCAATATTCTTTCTTTGTTCTGTATTTAGTGTTTTGAATGTCATGTGACTTGGGGAATTTCTTTTCTGATCTGATCTATTTGGTGTTCTGTAAGCTTCTTGCACATTTATAGGCATATCTGTCTTTAGGTTAGGAAATTTTTCTTCTATGATTTTGTTGAATATATTTTCTGTGTTTTTATGCTGCGATTTTTCTCCACATTCTATTCCTATTATTCTTAGGTTTGGTCTTTCCATAGTGTTCCATATCTCCTGAATGTTTTATGTTAGGGGTTTTTTCAGATTTAACAATTTTTTGACTGATGAATCTATTTCTTCTATTGTATCTTCAATTCTTGAGATTCTCGCTCTTCCGTCCCTTATCTTCTGTTGGTGATGCTTTGTGTCTGCAGCTCCTGTTCTTTAGAACTCTTACTTTCCATTTCCTGAATTCTCTCAGTTTGTGTTTTCTTTATTGCTTCTATTTCCATTTTCATGTCTTGAATAGTTTCTTTCACCTGCTTGTTTGTTTTCTCTTGGCTTTTTAAGCATTCAAGGAATTTGTTGATTTCCACTAAATTTTCTTTTCTTCTCTTCAATTTCTTTAAGAGAGTTTTTCATTTCTTCTTCCAGGACATTTATCATCTTCATAGAGTTATTTTAAGGTCCTTTTCTTGTGCTTCGGCTGCACTGGACTATTTAGATCTTGCTGTTGTAAGATAGCTGTGTTCCGGTGGTGCCATATTGCCCTGGCTGTTGTTGCTTGGGCGAGCACATGAGCATCACCACTGAATGTATTCACTTCAGTTAAGGAAGCTAAACACAAATATTTTTTTGTTTCAGGATTTATTCACTATGTAACGAGTCAGCAGGTCATTGTATACTTTTTAAAACAGAGAACAAACCCAACTCTATTAATCCATTTTCTGT